AGTGGAGGAAACTGGTCTGGCCCGAGGCGATGTTCTCAGAGTAGTCAGACCCTCAAGGAGCAATCTTAAACCATCACCTTGCTGTAGAATAGTGCTAACATTTTGAGATAGCGCCGCCAGTAATTTGAATTATTGCTCCAGAGTAGGCGGACAGCCCACAGAAATTTCACAGGGACAACACTTCTAGCATTTACTGTATGACCTTGGATAAAATGAAAAATGGAAGAAGAAATCCACGTTCCACTCTGAAGTCTGTTTATTTCTTCCCTTACGTAGTAAAACGACATTAAGATTCTAGTTGTACCGGGGACTGATGGCACCTGCCTGTAATTCCAGCACTCACACGTCTGAGGCAGGAAGATTCAAAATTGGAGGTCATTTATATAGCAAGTCCCCGGTAGGCAAGCCAGGACTATGTGTTAGATTTAGGGATGCAGAAAAAAGGAACAAAGGGCAGGAGAGAGACCACAGTCTGCCCTCAACAGGTGAGACTGCGTTGATTAGCACTACAAGAGGTATCCATCTTTCCCTGGGGATGAAGTTGAGCTAAGGGGAGGGAGCCCATAAGGGCCCTTATAGGAGTGAGTGAGGAGCTTGGGTGTGAGGAAATTGATGCAGCTTCGGAGGACACATGCAGAGTAAGACACTCTTGATAAGTTTATGACCTCCTTTTGGAACTGCTTGCTCGGGCAGAGGAGGCTGTCTTGACAACTGTCTCAAGAAATAAGTTTTCTCCCTGAGATACAGATATGACTGACTGATCACTGTTTCCCAATGACATCAAGACAGTATCAGGAAGATGTCTGGTTCTCTGCAGCCAGAACACTCAGTCAGCAAGACCTAACCCTCCCCTTCTCCCTTGCCTACAGATCCCAGATGAAACTAGTGTTTGCGGAAAAAATTAAAATAACGAAACAGCAGACCGAGAGACCTCAAAAATGTTAGGCAGAGGGAACATGAACAACCAGGCTACAGTCAAATGTACAGCAGGGAAGCAGGGAATTAGATCCTTCCTGTACAGACATGAAACAGGGTAAAAAGGGAAGAATAAGGAGACATGGGAAGGGAAAGAGCCCCTCACTAGAGAGTCTGGTCAGAGGCTCTCACCAGCTGACAGACAATTCCAGTACAGGCTGGACTCGGTGAACTCACCTTTAATCCTAGCTCTCTGGAGGCAGAGGCAGGTGGATCTGGATCTCCTGAGTTCAAGTCAGCCAGCCTGCTTCACAAAGTTCCAGTCAAGGGCTAATTTGAAAAAAATAAATAAAAGAATTTTCAGCACAATTAACACTTACCATCAAGGTTGCCAACATAGAATACCTTTTTATAGAGAGATGTCCCATATAATAATCTTTTTTGTTTTGTTTTGTTTTTTTGTTTTTCGAGACAGGGTTTCTCTGAGGCTTTAGAGGCCATCCTGGAACTAGCTCTTATAGACCAGGCTGGTCTCGAACTCACAGAAATCCACCTGCCTCTGCCTCCCCAGGGCGGCGTGTGCCACCACCGACCGGCCCATATAATAATCTTAAAATAGCTATGAATCATGCTTAAGGACTAAATGTGTATGGCCTTTGTGCTAGCCAGTTTTATGTCAATTTGACACAAGTTCGAGTTATCTGAAAAGAGGGAAGCTCAATTGAGAAAATACCTCCATAAGGTCCAGCTGTATGCATGCCTGTAGAGCAGCTTCTTAATTAGTGATTGATGGGTGAAGGTCCAGCCCACTGTGGGTGGGACCATCCCTTGGCTGGGGGAGCTGGGTTCCATAAAAGAGCAGGAGGAGCAAGCCAGTAAACAGCACATATGGATGACCTCTGCATCAGCTCCTGACTCTAGGTTCCTGCCCTGTTTGAGTTCCTGTCCTGACTCCTTTCAAGGATGAGCAGTGATATGAAAGCCAAATAACCCCCTTCCTCCCTAACTTTGATCATGGTGTTTCATCACAATTGTAACCCTAAGACAACCTTATAGTATGGTCTTTCTCCTTTCCCTGCAATTTCCTAGGTATCTCACAAGAACTCCCATTTCCGGTAAAATATATGTCTTAATTCCTGTAACTTGTGGTTTTGCCTTATTAGATTACAATCCAACACACTTCAGGAGCCATCCTACAATCTCAACCACAAAGGTTGTGGAGAATCACTGTCCTCAGAGCCATTGCCCCCTGAGATGACCATCCCAAATGAGTTTGCTGATGGCTCCCCCTCCTATAGACGGGCATACGGCACAAGTATTGAGCTTCTCCCTACCACCTGGCAACTCTACTTAGCCTGGAGAGGGATTAAGAGTATGTATAGGTCAGAGAAGACTACAGAGCAGGGGATCCATATACATGACTATGGGGAAAGTCTTCAGTTCTGCTGGGTAAGGCTTTCCAGAGCTGGTTAGTTCAGGGAGAAGTGCCCACACACCTAATAAGTAACCGCTATGTTGTGTAAGGAAGCCCAATAAACTCATGGGATTTTTCCAGAGTGAACTCTGGAGAGATGGCTCAGCAGTTAAGAGCACTTGCTGCTTTTGCAGAGGACCAGGGTTCGGTTTCCCAGTACCCACGTGGTGGCTTACAATCATCAGTAACTCAAGTTTCTGACCCCCTTCTGACCTCTGTGGGCACCAGGCACACAGGTGATACATATCCATATGTGTAAGCAACACACACATACACACACACACATACACACACAGATTATGAGGGTGCTGCTGTAATGATGACTGAAATAGCACGTCTTAAGTTGGAAATTACTGTGAAGGAAGTGAAGCTGGGATCTGTACCATCTGTATGTAGCTGTGTGGCTACCAACTTTTTTCTTTTCCATTTGGACACAATGCCTATTTAACTATGCATTGAACTGGACTCAAACTTATGATTGTACTGCTCCAGTATCCAAAATAGTTTAAGACTATAGGTAAATATCACCATCTTTTTTTTTTTTTTTTTTTTTTTTTTTTTTTTTTTGTGTTTTTTTTTTTTTTTGGTGGTGCTTGAGGGATGGAACCCAGGGCTTACGAATGGTAGGCAAGCAATGTACCACACCCTAACACCCTAGTCCTTAAGTAGTGAAGTATCTATTTCAATCATGGAAGGTTCTTACTGTAGTACAGGCTGTCCTAGAACTCACGATATAGCCCAGGGCAGTCTTGAACTTGTAGTAATCCACTTGCCTAGGCCTCTGAAGTACCCAAAGCACACACTTATAATTCTTTAAGAAATTACTTATTTATGTATATGTGTGTGTTTGTGCGCATGTACCCTAGCACGTGGAGGTTAGGGACAGTTTGCAGGAGTTGGTTCTCCCGTTCCACCAAGTGAAGCTGCCAAAATTGGCAAGCACACTTACCCATCAAGTCGTCTTGCTGGCCAAGTGGGGGTGCTTTTAAAAGTGACTGGTATGAATACACGTAAGACTTCAAAGGCAGCAATTAACACAAGGTATGTCAAAATATTGCTAATAATTCTTACAGTGATTACATACAACAATATCTTGGATATGTTAAATAAGGCATATTTACACAAATTACTTCTTTTACTCTTCAAAATCGTAGCCACTAGAATATTGTTTTTTTATTGCTTACACAGTTGGCAACCTATTTGTTTCTGACACTGCTCTGGAAGGTCACAATGGGGAGAGCACCTGGAGAACTGTAAATGAAGAAAAAGAAAAAGCAGTGACAGTGCAAGGGATAGTCAAGAGAAATGATGGCCTAGGAGTCCCTTACTGAAATGGGTCACTTTATCGGGTTCAGGGTAACTGGCAAGTCATTAAAGAACACTGAGGAGAGAGGAGAGGAACCTAGCTCAGGGTCCCCCAGCTTCAGCACTGTTGACATTGTTGACATGGGGGAAACTCTTAATTTTTCACCAAGGCTGTGGTCAGTATCTCT